TGACATATCGACGAAGGTTGACAGAGCGATAATCTGGAGACAACAAAGCCACCAAGGTCGAGAAAATCGAAATACACTTACGGTGCCGGGCGACATTCACAGCAAAGGAAAGACTAGAAGGGTCTCTCAAAGTAAGGTTTTGTTGAAAAGCCCAAACACGCATGGAGCTCAGAAGATTGAGCAAGACGTATAGTCGTCTGACGCCTCAGATTTCCACTCGCCCACACCAGTATATGATGGAATAACGACTGCATCCTATAAATAATGTGGCCCAAGTGCGTTAATCAACTGTGAGGTTCCCTGATGAGGTAAGAATCGCAAACATCAAGCAAATAAATGTCTTGTCCTCGTAATCGCGTCGTCTTTGGAACTGCCTTCTAGAACTCGTCGCCTTGCTTCGATCAACACAAGGGCTTATTGGTCCAAGTGGAGCTAAACAAGTGTCCAAAGAATTAGTTCATTCAGCTGTCTCTGAAAGCCTATAGCATGCTTAGCCACGCGATTCAATCGAAATAGAAGTTTATGAGCTGTAAATAAAATGACATTTTGACCAGAACCTTGAGGAGATTTTAGAGGAGGGTGACGGACAGCCAACAATGCTGTCCGGCTTCATCGTTCGACGTCCACTGCCTCAAAGTCATGCAACATTCCTGCTAGAAGGTAGCTCGACAAAAACTTGTCAGTATAATTCTCTTAGATGGAAACTGTGCAAAAATGTATTTGCCTTAGGTACATCAGTAACCAACTCTGACCTTAAACGACATGAAAACGAATTTAGGTGCGTCTCAGAGCTAAGTTAGGACATAAGAAGGGGCAGAGGAGAGAAACAGTCCCGTTCACGATCATTCTCTGGGCAAATGTTCGAGACAACACCACAAGTTCCTCTTCTTATTGCTGTGACATCATTCAGGTTCGACTTTCGAGCAACAGTAGTAACAACTGAACAAAAATACAACCAACCAGGGTCTGAAACGATTTTTCTTTAGTGAATATGATCTAATAGTGCAGACCTGCACTTCGAGAGTATTATGAATAAAACAGAAAATGCAGCTAATACAATTATTTGTAGAACACGAAAGAGTACCACATATAGCTATATAGCGTCCCGGGTTCCCTTATCGCGGATGGCATGATGTGTCCAATATCACTGAGTAAGAAATTAAAAGGAGTGCACTACTGTGCATTAAAATGTATTTAAAACTGTGATACGGGCTATATAAAAATTAACAGTGACACAATCCTTAAATTTGTGCTGATTATAGAAAAACTAACTTTTGTTACCTTATATCTAAAAGAATATAAGGGTTTTATACTGTATGACAGTGCTGCAACTGTTTACAAGTAGGTTAAAAGGGCATAAAACATATAAAATTACCAAAATACCGTTCTGGAACGCAAATTCGTGGTCGAGAAAGGCTCAGTGTACACTACACGGAAAATTTAGTTTGGCAAAATAAATGCTACTTACACTTGTAAGTAAACAAGTTTGT